GCAACTTTGAGAAGCACGCCACTGAAGTATTGAGCAATAAAAAAAATTGGAAGAGAGAGCGTTTGCTTAGCAGATAAAAGACCAAACCATAACGTTGTATACACATATTTTCAAAACCAAAGCAAGGACAAGAAGTAAATAGTAATACTAGTCGGAACTAACTAAATACTCCTAACTACAGGGCTACGCTAAGATTCGCCCCCATACATTCTACAAGACAATCAAACAAAAATACTAAACCAAAATTACCCAGTAAAGAGTAGATTACCAATTCAAGAATATGCGATAACAAAGTTGCTAAGGTACGAGGGTGGTAAATATTTGCCACATCTATTGAGTAAGCGTTCATGCAGTAAAGTTTATTTTAGAGTAAATAAACAGCTTATCTTCAAGCAATTTTCAAGCGTTTGTGGTATTACGCAGACATAACATTGTTAGAAAGGAGAAAATATCAAAAAACATCTCAAATGGGATGGTAAATATTTTCGCTCAGTAAGCACAAAGGAGTAAAGAAAATACCATTAAATAAAAAAAGATGATATAATTATAAACAAGATTTATTCAAGATAGATTTAATAGTTATTATGATATCCTTATACACACTGATATTTGGATAACATGTAGATAAAGCAGAAGATTAAGATTGCAGATCCAAAAGTTTTATAATATACAGTAGCTATAGTAATGTAGACTAAAAAGAATAACCTTAAAGGCTAGATTACTTAAAGAAGACTATACACAAAAGTAATATAATTATTTAATATAGCTTAATTTTCATAATTTTTGTTTTTATAATTGACATATCCTTTATTAATATTACAATACAGTGTGTTTCGAACTGTATTCCGGAAACTTCGGCAGCATATTCTGCAGATAAAAACAAGTAAAAAAGTTCGTATAAATGTATATCCTAAAATACTTAGTTTCGGAGATACAGGGTGTTGAAGTTTCATTTTTATTTTGATTTTTTCCAAATAATTTCTGAAGTAACGTCAATATTTGAATAAAAATTGGTGTCTGGGAGTTTTTTGACATGAGAAATTTGATTTTGATGTCAATATGAGTCTTACTTGTAGAGGGCGCCACCTACATGTGTTTAAATTGTTTTGAAAAGTAATAACTTTTCGTCCGTACCTGTATAAAATTATTGAGTGAAAAAAAAAATATTTTAGTGATTTTCTACGTAAAAAATACCTCTTTGTAAAAATCGCTACGAGCAACCTTTCTCAAGATATTTAAAATGGAAATAGTTAATACATGTCATTATTGACAAAAAATAAACGTGTTGAGTAGATAGTTATTTGACTGAAATGACAAATTTGGAAACTTCTTATTTTTTATGACCGAGAAAAATCAAAGGTTTTCCTTGATTTAAGTAAAAACAATCTTCGGATTGTCACGGGGTTTCTAACAGGACACTGTCTCCTCAACGAACACCTCAGTAGGCTGAAACTGAGAAACAACGGCGAATGCAGATTTTGTGGGGAAAATGGGAAAACACAAGAACACCTTATCACTGAGTGCGCCGAGACAACGACCATTCGTGCCATGAACCTTGGTACGTCTGATGCCGAGGATGGAGAGCTGGCCTCTGCGGAGCCGTCTCAGATACTGGCTTTTCTTAAAGCCCTGAGACTGTATGATGAGTTATAACTCGTTATAACTCAAGAAAGTGGGACACACAATAGATTTATAAGGTCGCGGTGATTAACTCCCCTCCTAAACATTCTACAATCTACAAATAGCTATTTTTTAACTTAAATTTTCCGATTTCATTAATTTTTTTTTCGTGTATTAACTTTAAATACTTATTGCCCGATCCGACTTCTTTCATAATCGTTCAGACCCTTTAAACGTAATTCGCATACATATTACAGCCCCGGCCGACGACCAATTACGAATTAAAATCTCCACATTAATACGGCGAGCCCGAACAAAGCCGACGAGAAAACGCGCGCTTTATTCCACCCCCCTCTCACATCTCCCACCCTCAATCGAGTACAATTTAAATCCGCTCCACCCGTCAATTCGGTCCTTAATAACGATCGTTAGCCGATTACCCGTCTCCTCACTCACTTAATACCCGCCTAATGACGGACATTTAGTGCCTCACCTCTCCCCCCTCCTCCCGCGCCGCCATGTCGCGACTTAATTGGCAACAATTCGGGCAATTAATCGAGGCAGGCCGAGCAGCTAGCGAGCGGTTTAAGTGGCCCGGGCGATTGCCCATTGTCGGAGCACAATGGGTGGCTACGGTGCAATCGGAACTGGATCTCCGCGGCACGCTGGATGATTTCGATGTGCGACGAACGACAGCGTGATGCTACGCGCGGGAGGGAGAAAGATAAGGGGAGAAGATGGGAAGGTTATAAAGAAGAGAATGCGAGGGTGTCTTGGTGGCGTGCGTAATTGCCTTCCTTTTGGTGGGCGATTTGTAGATGCTTTGGTGAACGTGAAGCGGTGTGTTCTTTAATGGGGACTGACTGCATTATATTATATTGGAAGTTATGATATACTAGAGGTTTTTACTTGTCCCTTTCAACGATTTTTCTTGATCGCGATTTTGTCATGTTTTCTTTTAGAGTAATGGCAAAACAATTTCCGATGGACGTGAGTGACAAGCTATGGCGACAGCGCTGCCAGATTGTGACGGATTTATGACATGAATATTAATTTAAAAGTGACAAACAGTATATTTATTATATAATTTTTAAAGATTTTTACACATTTTATTTTTAATTTAATAAATAATACACACACCGGAAAAATCATTTTATTAAAGTTAAAAATAAATGTTTTGAATAAACAACCACATATTTGTAGGCCTATTCTTTGTACTTTGATTGAAACAAAGTTGTCACACTAGTTATTTCTAAATTTGGGATATTTGCAGAAGTGTTTGTGCATTTTTTGTCAAATGTGTAAAAAGCACCTAGCATCAATTGTTCGAATTTAACCTGTACTGGCTATGTTTTTATGATAACTGGCGAGAATTCATTCAAATAACTCTGTTTAGTATTAAACGACCTTCTGGAGCGTAGACATCTTAACAGAGCCGAAATGCTAAGGACCATGGGTATGCTCGAAGCTGTAATGCGCCAAATCGACATAGCTAGAGCATTAAATGCAAAGCAAAGTGTAATATCGCGGTTAAGTGGACGCTATCGTGAAAGTGGTGATGTTGCTGAAAGGCACACAGGGCGACATCACATTACTACCCCTCAGGAAGATCATTTTTTACAATTAAATGCTCGACGCCGACCGACTCTTACAGCACCAGAGCATAGTTTAATTCTCCAGTAATGTAACCGTTAGTCCTGACACTTAATAATGTAACCGTTAGTCCTGACACTGTCCGCTATAGATTAAGAGAGGTCAACTTAAGAAGCAGACGCCCCTGGAGAGATCAACCCTTAACGAGAGGAAATCGAGAGGTACGATATTTGTGGGCTCAAGATCATGTTCAGTGGTCGAATGAACAATGGGCCAATGTTCTCTTCACGGATGAGTCACGCTTTGGAATTCATCCGGATTCGAGAAGGCTTAGGGTATGGAGAGAACCGGGAAATCTTATTCGGTTGGATCATGTTCAGGAAGTACATCCTTATCAAGGTGGAACAGTTATGGTCTGGGGAGGAGTCCAGCAAGGCCGAAAAACCGATCTCGTTTTTTTTTGAAAGGTTTCTAACAGGAATCACATATCGTGATTTAATTCTTGAGCCTGTCGTGTTACCATATGCCAATGATTTTGGGAGAAACTTCATTCTCATGCATGACAATTCACGGCCTCATACAGCCAGAGTGGTAAGTGAGTTTATCAATGCTGATCAATTAAACATCTTACTCTAGCCGGCACAATCTCCTGACCTCAATCTCATCGAGCACGTATGGGACGCGGTCCAAAGAAGAATTTTGAGAATGGGTATGCCTCGTGAAACTCGTAGGGATCTGGTTCGGGCCGTGAATGCAGCGTGGCAGGCTGTACCTCAAGAAGAGATCGACATCCTGATCAGGAGCATGGAGAGAAGATGTAGGGCTGTAATGAACAGTAGAGGAGGCCATACCCTTTATTAAATAACATTGGTTTTATCTTTTTTTTTAATTCACAGTTTGGAATAAAAAAAATATGTGTGTATTTTTCAATAAAGAGTTCAATAAAAATCAAGGTAAATTTGAAAAATCCGGTAAATTTCGCATTTTTATTTCCAATACATCCTGTAAATTATTTGTTTATTTTAATTTTATTATATCAGAAATGCAAATAATAAAATTACTGACGATGGCTGGATAAAATTGTAATATCCCTAGACTTTTCCGGTGTGTGTATTTTAGTAATTAATTTTTTTATTTGTTTTTACCATAGCAACTGCTAAAATTGCCTTATATCTATCAAAAATAGTAAATAAAATAGTACTTTAACCGCGAGGATAGGTTAAAAACTTTATTTTTTCTCGCACGTTTTTTAATTGCTTCCATTTTTGAAAATTTTTGTATTCCTTTTCATAAGGTATTCGGGATTTAAATGGAAGTAGTTGGGATATGGCGTTTGTCGCCTCAGCCTGAATATCCGTTGGTAATTTACTTATTTCGTTTTGAGCCATTTCTGGCTCCAATTCAATCAGCAATCGACACGAAAGAGAATAAAAAAATATTGACTCAAAATTGACAACTAAAGAGACAGCTTTATTTATTTGTCAAATTACATAGAAACCAACGCCAACCCAGCACAATATTTTTTCTACTCGTAATAAATTATTCCTTAATAATAATAATTTCTGAATATTTTTTAAAACGTAACTCGCTATGGAAAAAAATATTGTTTTATACACGACGATAAAATTGCATTATCGTCCCCGAAATTAATTCACTCGCGATTTCATCACTCGTCAATTAATTAATTCGGTCGACGATAAAATGGTATTTTATCGTCTGGTATAAAAAATTACTATAAATTATTGTAAGCAACTATACCATCTATGACACTTTTTCTTTATTTGCAGGTGTGGTTCCAAAACCGTCGAGCCAAATGGCGTAAGCGCGAAAAGTCCCTCGGCCGCGACGTCAGCGCCCTCATCCAACCCGGCGACCAGCAAACGGTGGCCGACTGTCAAATGCACGTCATCCCCACCATAGGCGACTCGTTCTGGCCGCGGCTTCAGCTGCCCTCCATCTACGCCAATGGACCCATCACGTTTCCGTGGGCCTCCAACCCCATCGCCGTGCCCAACATTCAGGCCTATTTGATGACGCGGTTTGCATTGGCGGAGAGCGTGGGGAAGCTGGAAGGGGTAGGGGAGGAGAAATTGGGGAGTATCAGTCCCCAGCCCCCACCATAAGATTAGGAGAATGTGCGATGTTGGAAACGTTTTTGTAGTGATGTTCTTTTGGTTGTTTTTGTATGCGTAATGTAGATAAAGGCGTTGAATATATATTTTATTAATACCGTGTTATAGTTTATTTCTTTCCCCATATGCTTGATTCTGGTTAAGGGTATACACAAATAAATACTTAATTACAAAAGGCCATTTTTTTAAGTTTTAACAGTCTCTAAAACTTTAAAACTAGGCATTTTCGCAGCTATGTGTATAGGAACTTTTTTGCAGAATTAAAACTAGATATAAACCTATAATTATGTGACAAAAATTAGCTAGATGAAATCAAATGCTCAAAATGCTTCCTTTCCTGTTAACTGCATAAAATGAGTGTCTTTTCAAAAAGATCTTTTCATTTTAAAAGGCATTATGTGGAATTCTACCTCGAAAAGGAGCCACAATAATTTCTCTCATGTTGTCGACAATAGTTGGTCGAGTTTTTTAAACACTGTCTTTAACATATCCCCATAAAAAACAGACTAGATAAAATCAAGAATGAACAACTAGATAACACTAACTAAAACAGACTAGATAAAATCAAGAATCCACACTGCATTCACCAACTAATAGAATCATATCAACTCTTTCTGATGTAGGATAAGTTTGCATTTTTGGCAAATTTCTGAGAAATGTTTTTGTTTTAACTGACACAAATTGATAACTAGTTGTTAAAGTTGGACTAATTTGACAGCTATATTGAAGTAACGTCAGACATAATCACCAGCCACCTAGATTTTATCAAATAATAAAGATCTACTCAGATCAAATCATGTAAATAAAAATATCTGGGAAAATCTTTGTTTGAGGGGTATGCAACCTTAATAGTACTTTGAAGAGACATGAATTCTCCAGTGAATATTAAAATAATATACTGGGTGTTCCATTTAAAATAAAAGAGTATCATACTTTGAAAAGTGGCCAATGTTCAATATTAATTTTGTCTCACCCTGTATAACTTTTTGGATCAAGTTTTAATTTGATTTAAAGTACATTAGTTAATTTAACTGCATGTTAGGCTATACCGGGTAAATTCCAGTTTAGATAGCTTTTATTGTAATTTAAAAATTGTTCTTTATTTCTAGAAATTGTTAAATATGTCAAAAACTTTACATTTTAGTCATATATTTCTCTTATAACTCACCTTTATTTTTCTCCCAGAATCCAAAAATCAATTAATCTATAGGGTGTTCCGTTACAATAAACACAACTTGATATGTAACATTTTTGGGGGATACCCTGTAGAACTTTCTATATTTTTAAAATGTGCTCTGAATTAAATATGCTCACAAAATTTAATTTCAATAAAAACTGTTGTTCTCCTTGGACCCTCCGCACACTGCAAATTCGAGATCGAAATTCAAGAATTTAATTTCTTAATACGAAATTCAAATTAGAGTATTGTAATTTCATATGTGTTACTCAAGTTCTGAAGAAGTTACCCATTTGACATTTATTCCCAAAAATTTTTTCTGCATATCCGAAGTTGACAAAAATCAATAATTTTCTTTGAATTGCACAACATAAATAAAACAATGTCATTTTCTTAGAATTTCCATACTTAAGTAGCGTAAGTAATCACATCCTAATATATATGATATAAAAGAGTTGTTTTTCTTTTTTATTTTGAATATTTATAATTATCAAAATACTGCTTAGTAATTGTGTAATTTATTAATTAGTTAATAACATGCCCTCTACGTAAAATGTATGAGTAAATCGTAGAATACCTTTAGTGAGACCGCAATGAACAATTTTTTTTCGTAAAATTAGTAAATTCTACGCTAATAAAAATCTCCTTTCTATAAGTCTGTCTTAATATGGATGAATAATATGGAACGCTCCCTTTGAGTTTTACCCCTCGCTTGGGGTTGGCTTTTACCAAAAAAATCATTACAGATATCTGCATTATATTATATATTTCTAAACATAATGTATTTGTTTCGTTAAGAAGATCTTAATTTCGATCAGGAATTTGCGATTTTTGATCAGTGTGCTCCGCGGCGCGGCGTATACCCTGTACTATTGCAGAATACATTTGTCATCTTTGATTCTGCTCTGTAGGGTAATTTGTTATTGAATTTTCTATTGGTCTGAAATTTATGAACATGGATAATTACAACGTTGGCAGATATTTGTCGCATTTTCATATAAGTACCTAAATATGCCTTCTTTCACTATAAATTATCTAATTTTCAATAGATATAATCTTCATAAAAGTATGGTTTATTATTGTGCTAGAAATAAGATCATACAAAAGTTGAAACTCATATTCAAAAGTAGAAATAAGATCATACAAAAGTTGAATCTCACATTCAAAAGTTGAAATGATTGACATTTTTTTCCCGAATTTGATGAGAACACATATTTTTATGGATAGAGGCAGATTTTAATGTAATCTAGAACATCAAATAAGAATGTAAAAAATGCAGTACGCCTCTGTTATCGAGCATATTCGCCAATATCCATTTATTTTCGATAGAAAGCGTCTAGGGGCGCCCAAACAAAATCCGAACTCGTTGTTTAATTCCATATTAAAAGCGGATCGCAGCTACTTGAAACTTTGTACGATTTTTATTTCGTTTCCAGAGGGATTATTACGATTTGCGATCCCCCACACCGTTTTTTACTCGATTCTCTCTTTTTTAAAACGCATTTCCATCTCTTTTTCGATCTTTTACGGCTTTGTGATTCGCCCGTATCCGCTTACTCCAACTCTTCGAAATCGATTTTAATCCTTTCGACTTGTGCCGATTTTTTCTGTTTCTGGCGTATTGTTAAAAATTTAAAATTTGCAGTTTCCCCATTGTGTAAGAGATTACTTTTATTTGATGCCGAGTAACGGTGAATTGTATAGGGGATAATATGATGAGTCAATAATTATATCCAACTGTTATATTATTTATAAATACAGGTATACTGGGTGATTAATCTTTCCGACAAACTTCCATGTCAGGATTCTAATTTGATATTTTTAATACTTTGAGAGCATATCAGCATATACGTGCAGTAGGCCAATCAAATTAGAGGGGTCGCTTGAAAAAAGGGTTGTAAAGCTAATTATTGATTTAATTGGTTGTTTTGACGTGAAAGAAAAGTTTTCTAGATTTGGAAGTGGTAAAACAATATGCAAATATCCGTGAAAAAATGACAAAATCCCTTACAATATCGGGAAAGCCTAGAATATGCAAACTCGCGATCAATGATCAGAGTGTAGAACAAATGATGTTATTTAAATATCTAGGGGCAAATATAACAAGAACTAGGAATCTCAAGGAGGAAGTAAAAGTCCAAACAACAAAGTCAAGATTAATATCAGGATATATTTAAGAGATATAATTTGGCGAAATAAACATATGGAGGAAGAGGAAGAGGAAGAGGAAGAGGAAGAGGAAGAGGAAGAGGAAGAGGAAGAGGAAGAGGAAGAGGAAGAGGAAGAGGAAGAGGAAGAGGAAGAGGAAGAGGAAGAGGAAGAGGAAGAGGAAGAGGAAGAGGAAGAGGAAGAGGAAGAGGAAGAGGAAGAGGAAGAGGAAGAGGAAGAGGAAGAGGAAGAGGAAGAGGAAGAGGAAGAGGAAGAGGAAGAGGAAGAGGAAGAGGAAGAGGAAGAGGAAGAGGAAGAGGAAGAGGAAGAGGAAGAGGAAGAGGAAGAGGAAGAGGAAGAGGAAGAGGAAGAGGAAGAGGAAGAGGAAGAGGAAGAGGAAGAGGAAGAGGAAGAGGAAGAGGAAGAGGAAGAGGAAGAGGAAGAGGAAGAGGAAGAGGAAGAGGAAGAGGAAGAGGAAGAGGAAGAGGAAGAGGAAGAGGAAGAGGAAGAGGAAGAGGAAGAGGAAGAGGAAGAGGAAGAGGAAGAGGAAGAGGAAGAGGAAGAGGAAGAGGAAGAGGAAGAGGAAGAGGAAGAATATGAAAAATAAATTGCCTACTATAATTCGTCATATAGCCTCAGGGCTTTGACAAAAGCCAGTATCTGAGACGATTTTACAGAGGTTATTTCTTCGCCTCCGGTATCAATCGTTCCAGAGTACTCAGTGATGAGGTGTACTGGTGTTTCCTCATTTTGCCTCCAGAATCTGCTTTCTTAGCTTCAAAACAAATTATTTGAATACGCGCTTACATACTTACTTACACTACCTAAAAAAACTGACCTGGTTTCACTTGAGATCCCACAATTTTTTATAGTGGAACTACTTCGTTACGAAACTCAGCATATTTTTACATTTTATGTTTGTGATGGAATACACTTATATTTAGAGTCTGTCCCACTAGGCCCTTACTGCTTTCGCAGCAACCATTTTTATTCAATATGTCCAGGTTAGCTTATACAGATTTGGTAATTTTAGAAGTGTGGCCTGGATTTTAACATGTAGACATTTAAGACAGTAATATAGGCAGCTTAATGGAAAATCAAATTTATTAAAAAGAGATAAAAGTTGGGTTGATACATTTCTTCATTGCGGTAATGCCCGATCTTGAAAAAAAAAATTCAAACTGCACAAGTAGGCGTTTATGGAAAATGTTGCATCTCACACTTTTTTGAGCCACCCTATAGAAGTTAAAATATTTGCCGGAAATACGTCCTGGTACATACTTTAGGTTTGCACTTAAACAAAATTCTAAAGTATTCTATTCTAGGAGCTACAGATGCCCGACGCACTATTGCCGGACCCTGTAGATATTATTCCCTATCTTTACACGTTAAAATCGGTATGACCATGGATCATTTGGCATTTAATAACGCCATACAACATCCTACTAATCCGACTTTATTCAAACAGAGTGTAATTTCAAACAGCTCAAACTACCCCTACACACCCCCATCTCGACTCTTATTCTACCACCGGCACAAGCCAGATGTCGAAGTGGCTCGATACTTGCGTTCCTCTCCCTCCCTTCCTTTTAAACCCCCTCCTAATCGCCGACAAATTGCCGAACTAATCCGCGAAAATCCGAAGCCGCGCGATCCCGGAAGCAAACAAACGACTATCGCCCGCCGTCATCTCGAGATCAATGTAAACGCAATAAATCGCAGTGGGCCAGTGGTCGGTTCGTCC